ATTTTTTAATACTTCACAAAATATATGTCCATCTCTGCTGTTCCAATCGACATCCAGCATATGTCGCCTCATCATTGGGCCGTCTCCTTGTTCTGTACGTTCACTTCATCTTTTTGATAGAGTAAATTTTGATTGAAATATTCTAGGAATTGTGTGTATGGCAAATTTTGATTGATATGTTCTCGATATTTATTTTTGCTGTATTGAGCCAGACAGCTGCCTTGCTGAAAGATAATCAGTGACTGGATTCAACGAAATTCCATTTGTTCGAGTGGATTACATCAGTCGGACATAATTGCCTTTCCTATAGGCGAGAGTGGGCGTTCTGAACGTTTATTAAATATTCACTGAAAACTTAACGACATTACTTCCGTTTGAATTATATAAAATTTCGGATTGCTTGAGTAGTTTGTTTAGTACTGATTTTAAAAAGGAGTTATGAATTAATGTGTTAAATTAGCTCCAATTTTCTGGAATGCGTTCAATGAAAAATAATTTTTAACTTTGTTTGTAGACCAAAATATATCTTTATAATTAAACTTCATGGAAATATGCAGAAATCATTATTCAAATATAATTTGAGAATACATTAATACTAATTTTTGAATGTCAAATAACCTAAGTTCAGTTTGCAAAGAGAAAACGCTATTACGTATTTAATTCATACACTCTTACATTTATTAGTTGTTGAAGCAATACTCGTCTGCTGGCATTTAAATGCGGAAGAAAAGCTTGCTGATGAAAGCGATAATAGGGGGAGAATCTGAGGCTGTGTAAAAGATCTGCATTTTACTGCCATTAAAGAGGGTTGCTAAATCCGGTCATCTATCAGCAGAGGACAATTAACAGGAAGAAGTTGGCAGTCTCGATAGAAATTTGCTCCACTGAAGCAATTTATATCCATACATACATCCATACATCTTCATTGATGTCTCTCTGTATAGAAACCGGGAAAAGAGTTGAATGAAAATCAGAGAAAAGTATCTGGGGAAATATTTCATACCCAACAAATGCCAGACTGTAAGAAATAGTAAAATATATTAGCTGTAAGCAATAAATACCCAATTAAAATTAAGGGGTGTGAAACCTAATTACATACACCACAGATTTAATAAGCGACGAACTATTTTTGCATTCATTTTAAGGAACAAGTTTGTTTGACGATGAAGGATAATCTGTACTTTTGAGGGATACTTTACTCTCCATGGACGCTTTTAGTTATCTTTACTATATAGCATAAGAGGCGTGTACCATCATCACATAAGGAATATTAAAGCCAAAACAGCAAAAATAAAGCTTATTTACGTTTAAATGTCATAGATTTTTTTTTCGTAAATGGTCATGAAAATCTCATAAACTTGCATAGGTGTAAATGGACATTCTAATTTGTACCTTCTTCGTCGTAAATTCTACACTTAATTATTATCACTTTAGTTTTACATAACTCATAGCAGTTTCTGATTCCTGTTATAATATATTCAAGGTTTATCAGATAACATTATAAAAATATTTGTTAAATAACATTGCAATCACAACATTTTAACAATTGAGTAATGTGATGTAGCCGTTCCTCAATAGACACTAATGCCGGCTAGCTTTAAAAGGATTTATTAACAGAGCACACAGGAACGGTTACAAACAAAAGAAATATATATATAAATGAAACACAAACGAAATGGAACATCAAACATTGAGAATAACATAACATAGTAAGCTATCATCATGGCGGCTGGAGGTCGACTGACGTTTTTTCATATCGCCACGAGATGGCGTTTAAATAAAATAGTTCGGTTACAGTTCATGAGTTCATGGCGTGAATAAAATAGTTCAATTACACTTAAATTGGTCTGTTACATCCTCCCCCTCTGACTTCGTAGACGTCTCGGCAAGAAGTCAGGAACTGACATTTGTCTACTTTGTGCAGCGGGCGGAGAATCAGATGGACGGGCTCCAGTTTGAACTAGGAGTAGATTTTGCGTCACCAGCACCTTGTGCAAACAGGTGCAGATTCGGATGGTATTACACGTTTCGGGCGTCCTCTTTCTTTAAGGGAACCACTGGAATTACACGAGCTGAGTTTTGCTTATTTCGATCTTGATATGGTTTCAAGGCTTTGAAACATGATACTTGCCGAGAATTTGTCTGATTCATGAGGATCGGCAATATCATAAGTGGTTGGAGATCTTGTAGTCACTATCACATAAGAACCATCTCTCTGGGCATGAATTTAGCAGTTTTCTTCAGTGGACCTTTGCTGATTGGGTGGAGGGTGAACCCAAACGTTATCTCCTGGAACGAATTTCGGAGTTTCTCTTCGTTTTTTGTCAGCATATCGTTTTTGCTTATCTTGATATGCAATTCGAACTCTTTCTCGTACCTGTTGTATATATTTCTTGCAAAACGTTTAAAATATGGAGTAATTTCGGGGAACAAAATTATCGTTCTCAGTTACAGCTTTTATTTTATATAGCTTAGTTAGAATTACAGCTTTTATTATTTTATTTTACATCATAACTCTCGTGCAAATTGAAGAAATGCAAGCAGAATGTCCAGTTGAATCGCATTTGGCTGTATTCAAAGCAAACCTTTAAATGGCAGTTTATCCTTCCATGACTGATGGTCATTACCAACAAGTATTGCTAAACGCTGTTTCAGAATCTCTATTCTTCTTTTTAACTGGGTTAGATTGTGGGTGATAGACAGGAGTAAAACTTTGATCAATGTTTAAGATATAGCATAGTTGTTGCATAACAACACTAGTAAACTGGGCACCATTATCAACTTATTATTTTCCTGGATATCCCAAATCGAAGGGCGAACTTTTTCCAAAAGAATAGTGGCACATTCTTGGCTGGCTTCTTTAAAGCAAATAGTTCTGTCCATTCGTAGCACAGTTTGCAAATAAAAAATCCATTTTTCACCAGATGGCGTTTCCAGGAAGGGGACCGAAAAGATCAATCGACAAGGTCTTCAAAACGTTGAGCATAGGCTGGAATTTGAAGTAAGCCAGATGGCTTTTGATTAGTGGCTTCTCCTCCTACTTTGAAGACAGTGTGATATTTGTTAAGCAATGCATCAGTTGCAAGCCGTTGGGCTGTAGTTAATTGTTGTCCTTCATTTCTCGTAGTTGGCAGTTGTTTTACAACAACTGGGGTTTTTTCCAGTACTTGGGATTGATGAGGTTTCACGAAGCTATATTTTCTTCGAGGTTCATCAGAAAAGTTCCACCTATTTTCAGCAAGATTTAAAACAATTTTAGCTTTATGAAGAAAGTCAATCCCTAACAGAGTCGAGTTATTTTTGGCATCAGACAACACAAGGAGCGGAGTTTTGAACTCTCTGCCTTCGAGAAGAATGATTTGTTCGGTGCGAAGTACCTCTTTTTCAGATACCAAACCATCAGCGAAAGACACCTCTAGTGTTGTCTTTCAAATACTGCATTTTGTTTCTGCAGAATATGATAGAGGGATTCACTTGCGATTGAGTGACTAGCACCACTGTCGGCGAAAGCTGTACCGGAAACACCACCAATACTAATTCGGAAATACAGCAGTCCGTGTGGAAGATAAACAGGATCGGATTTGGATAGCGCCAAAATTTGATGAATTTGAAGTCTTTGGAGGGGGGGTTACAGTCTGAACATTTAGAACTTGATAAAACCAGTTTTTCCGCACCCAATAGCATGTTTAAAGAAGGTCGCGTTTTCCTTCTGTTTGTTGCTGCTGACCACGATTTGAAAAGGTTTTATGAGTTCCCTGTATGTCACTTGTTCGATTTTCTACTTTGTGTTTGGATGGATTAGTCGGTTTGAAAGAATAGTTCCGCCTGCCAGGAAGTTGAGTTTTATAGTTCGTTATTTTTAACACGTACAAACTTCATAATCATCCAATTTCTGTACTAATTCAGATGAACTCTTTATTTTTCCACAAGTATCAATAAAATGCTCCTTAACATCACTACTGACTCTTCTTTTAAGCTGATCCATCAGGACCAAGTCTTTGAGTGATTCAAAGTCTCTAACATTCGAGACTATGGAGCCGCTCTTCGAGATAATTGTTTAATTCGTAAGCAAAATCTTTCCATTAGGACCCAGGCTGTCTTTGGGGTGTGGTAAGTTTAATTCGAAATGATTCAGCATTTAATTTGACTCTTTGTAGCAGAATATTCTTGAATGTATGAATAATCTTCTATAATTTATCCTTCGGCTCTCTTAAAATAATTTGTGAAATGTCCTATAGGCAGAAGAGGTAGGAGATGAGTGATATAATCTATTTGTTTTATATGAACTTTCTCCCATTGTCTTTCAAAAATTTGCAGGTAGGTTGCAATGTCAGAAGTTCCTTGTAAATTTAGGGATTAGGTGCTGAATATTTGTTTCCAATAGCTGCATTTGAAGCAAAGGTGGCATAGGTTAGGATTTGAGCTAGCAGCTGCCAGGTTTAATTTTAAACGTTCTAATTTAATAAAAGTTCTTGTTCTTTTCTTTGACGTGTCTCCAGATCGTTGCTTTCACGTTGTTTTTTCTTGTCTAGTTTCGATTAAAGTTTCCAGAAGATCCTGGTAAAAGCCTTCATCATAAGTGTCAGAATTGAGGAATAAGATCTTTAAAGATCTATCACTCGCATAGTATCGTCGTTACGGTGAAACCCAGTTCTGTAGTGAGAGTTTTTAAATCCTCTTTTCGCGCTTTGGCAAGGTAAGCCAAAATTATATGAGAGGTCGGGGGGAGGGAAAAGATGAAGTTGAATTTGTTGCTTATTTCGATTTTATTCACAATACAGTATTTTTGCACTTACAGATTTTCAAATTAATAATTATACCTTTTAAGTAAAATTATACCTTTAAGGTCAATTGAAGTCGTGTAATTCCGCGATACTCGGGAAATCGGTGATTCAAAACAATTGTAAGGATTTTTAAATTCCTTACTATTAGCATCAATGAAGAGTGAATAATATAGCATTTATTTACTTAGATTTCAACTCTTCCTTTTATTTTTGCAGCTGAAATCAATGGACATTCAAAAATTTCACCAGGAAAATCCCGTTCTAAGCGAAGTCCTGGCTCTTCAGGAAAGAAAAACAGTACCAGCAGTGAAAGTAAGATTACGATCATAGTTTCATTTAATATTAATTACTTTTTTGTAGCATTTCATGTCCTATTACAGCAAAACTTCTCGTTTAATAAAAAAAACCGAATATTCTGATTCTGGATTAGTAAGATCCAAATCTAAGCATTTTCAATTTGTTAACCATTTCACGTCTAGATCCGGTTATATCCAGCACCGTGCTAAATACATCGCATTGGCTAACGCAGGGATTCTCCTCTGAAAAGAATTTCATAGCTCCAGGAGGGGAATACAATCTGCCTTTTAATTAGCTGTTAATTATTTGGTTCTAGTTTATGAATATTAAAAGCTAGTTTTATTCAAGTTTTGGTATTTATCTGCATTTTCTACACATTTTGTTCATTAATTTATGAAACGCTTTAAAAGTAATCTAAATGTAAATAAATGTACTGTGGAACCTGGAGATACGAGCACCTCTCTATAGGAGAAATTCGAGATATGAGGACGGTATGAGCGAAACATTCGTCTCTAAATATGAGCACTGATTCGAGTAACGAGCAGCTAGCCAGGCTGTTGATATGAGTGGCGCGTTTCCCGATCCGCCTCTACTCGGGGCGTTTCCCGATCCGCCTCTTCAAATCAATCTAATTTTCTTTGATCTACGTGTTTGTGCGCTTGGGAGTTAATTGTTTTTTACGTTTAATACAAAAATAATTATTTCACAGTGCCTCCCAAGAAGACTGTTGCCTTAGATAGCGTTGCAAAGAAAAAGAATAAAGCCATGGGTGGTAAAATTAAGAAAGAAATCGTAGATAAACAAAAGCGTGGTGTAAGAGTGGAAATTAAGAAACTTTATGTGGCTACAGGAGTTACCGGGTACTTCCAAGCACGGTCCAAAATTCCTAGAATATGCTGAGAAGCTGTTGTTGGTGTGGATTAACGAGAAGTAGTTAAAAGGCTATTCGGTGTCGGAAGCTACCATTTGCGCTACGAATATGTACTTGGACCTGCTTCCAAGAAACATCGACTTAAGATGAGATAGCATTTAAGGCAAGCCGTGGATGGTTCGAAAAATTTAAAAAGAGAGCCTGTGTTCACAGTGTGGTGCAACATGGGGATGCTGCGACCTCTGATACAACTGCTGCTGATAAATTTCGGCCAGGGTTCCTACAAGTTATTACTAGTGAGGGGTTTCTTCCCCAGCAAGTGTTTAATTGTGACAAAATTGGTCTTTTTTGGAAGAAAATACCTAAGAGGTAAGAAGAGAAGACGTGAGAGGAGAAATCTTTTCCTGCCCACAAGCCAGTGAGAGATAAGTTTACCCTCTTGTTTTGCGCCAACGCAAGTGGAGATTGTAAAATCAAGTCGTTGTTTGTCTACCACTCAAAATTCACATCCCTATCGCTAGTCAGAACTCTTTATAAAGGGAAACTACGGTTATATTATTTCCCAATGTTATTTATTATTAAAATTGATTTTTATATTGATATGTTTGGGGTGTGGAACGGATTAACTGTGTTTCCATTATTTTCAATAGAGAAGCAATAGGGAAGTTTGTTTCTAATTACAAGAAATACGCTATACGAGCTCAATGCTGGAACAAATTAAACTCGCATCTCGAGGTTCCACTGTATATACATATTTTTCGAGTTTAGGAAGAAAGGTAGAGAACGATCTTCTGGCAGTGGTTAAAGGGGGTGCATATGGTGCCAAACAGGGCGAGAACCATTGGGCTAAGAATAACTCCAGTAACAATATGCCAAGTATTTGTTTACCGCAGACGGAAAAGTTCTTGACACCAGTTAAAGTATATTTGTTTTCTATTTTTTTAAAAGCATGATAGTTTAAAGTAATCAATTAGCAATAAATATAATAAATAAATGAAATAAAAATAAATAGACCAGTGTGGTATGTCGTTAAGTCAAGAATATATTTAACTCAACCTATTTGTTTCAAATATTAATAAGTGGGTGGTTTAGGTGTTATGCACTTTCAAAGGGAGTATAAAAGTCGGAAAAAAGTTCAAACAGTGAAAGAGACTGATTCGGAAGGCTGAGATGAAAATGAATCCTATATAAATCAATAACATAGAAGAACAGACGATTAAATATGCTGAACAGGTAAGATTATGATGAAATTGATAGTATTAACTGACATACAAAGCGCCAATGTGTCAATTTTATTACTGACGCGTTAATGGCTATAGGTAGTTGGCACATCTTTTATGCGGCACAGGATGTTTTTTCTCAATTAAGATGCAGATACCAATACACATAAAGTGATTAGAAGCTTATATGATAAAAAATAAGATAGTTTTACACTGAAAGCATTTTATCTATTTAGAAGTTAAACCTTTTAACTTTAGTTTTTCCCTGAATAGATTTTAAATCTTAATCTAATAACATATTCTAGGTACCACGATTTCTTTTACATAAAACGTTTTAGTGCGCCTCAAGATCAGTAGATAAACAAGGTTAGGCTTTTTGCAACGATTCGAAATACAATGAAAACGGCATATTTAGGAAAAATTATGTATTTAAAGATAATCGAGTTATCTCTGTTCTGAAAGTAAGCCTGACCATGTCTTAATCCGAAAAACGTGTGGTATCCGAAATTTCTTCTTCTTCAATCAATATCTGCAGTCCTTTTAAATTTCTATTGCAATATATAATATATATATATATATATATATTATATATTATATATATGTCATAATAAGAGCAAAGGAAAAGGAAAAGACGGAACACTGTAGATGCGTGATTAGATCTATATTGAAGAAGAATTTTGATGCGTAGTATTTAAAAACTTGGCAGTCGAGGCAGTTTTAATTCCATTTTTATTTCCAATTGATATTTGTGGCCACAATCACTTGGCACTCTAGTCGTGCCTTTCCACAGAAAGATTTACATTTTTGATATTGTTGGGATAGAAAGCAAGCCAGCGAAATTACATCTTAGCACAGTAGAGAGCAAAAGCTGAAGTGCGTAGTTATGAAAGATGGAGGCACGCGAAGAGAAAAGTTTTGGTTTACAAGGACAGTTTCAGTTCCCAATGATTACGTCATCAGAGCTGCGCCGATCATAGAGTGATCTAAAAATGACGCAACGCAAAGAAGTTATTACGATTTTAGAATAGAGAGGAAGTTGATTCATATATTTTTATCTTACATATTTCCCCCCTTCAAAAAGAAAAAGGCGTAGCGACAGAGAAGCCTTTTTAAAGAGAAAAAGTTAAAGCACTAGCAAATGCAAAAAAAAAATAATAAATAAATAACAATAAATAATAAAATTTTGATCCTGTAAAGTATTATTTATAATACAATTTTTTAAAATAGATTCTTAATTTTTAGAGTCCTATTGAATTTTTTCAGCATTTCAGTCCAAAAGTCTTTTTGTATGAGAGTTCACATAATCATAATTCATCAGGGAAAGTTCTTGTTATCGCAGAATATAACAAAATAAACTTTTACATAATCATTACTTATAATTAAGTGTAATGCACATAAATATTATGATATTAATTTCTATTTGATAAATTATATTTTAATACTATATAATAATAGGAGTAAGCTTCAGAAATTATGGTTCACCGTTATCATCTTTTCATTTACAATTCCTGATTTTACCAAAACTGGAAGCCTCGCATACTTCTAAACAAACATATTCATCAATAGGGCTGTCCTCTTGAGCTAGCCAGCGTGTTCTCTGCACTGGTGGCCCAGGGACCTAGGCAGTTACTTGAAAAGGCCTCCGCTCCTTGCATTAAGGTAACTGGCCTTTGAGAACTTCACTAATACATTCCACAATAAAAAAAATATAATAATAATCAAATAATAATATAAAAAAATTACATGCACTTCATAAAAATTGAGAGCCTCCAACATTATCTCACACGAAGAGGGTAAAAGGAAGAACTGTACAGAGTAATTACAGGCCTCTGTTTCAAGGAACCAGTAGACTCCTCATCATGCTATTTAACATTAACATCTCTATTTAACATACAATCACCCATAAATTTTAGCATGCATACATGCATGTACCATAATTTCATATTACGTATCTATAATAATTTCACTTATTTTAACATCTTTATTTTTAAAATAATTATAAAATTGTATTCAAAATTCTCAACAAAATTTCAAAAACATAAAAACTTATCTTAATATCCTTCCCTATGAATAATTTAAATAGCTTAAAATTCGTTACTTAATTTGCTCACACATAATTATGAAAAATTAGAAAAATTAATGAACAAGAATTTCAGATTTTCTCAAAACAAATTGCAGAAATTTTAACCAATGTTGAAATGAAAACTATAGAATTCGCAGCACATTAAATAATTTAGTTCCTGAGCTAGGTTCACACGAATGTAATAATTTTTGAGCTAATGAAAAAACAGAAGCGCAAATAATTTTCTGTCGCACATACTTGCAAACACTAACTCGGATCGACCTTGAACCCGCTGTAATGCTTAATTCCTAAACGGTAAATTCACTGATGATTTCTTTTTCACTAGGCATTCGAACTTCTCAATTTATCGAGAGATCACTTTCAATCTGTAAACACTACGCGTGATTATTATTATTATTATTATTATTTTGAAGCACTTGCACCACAGCAGAAGAATGATCTGTTATTTTTTAAACACTGAAAAAACAAATTTGATGATTCACTTCTTTCACATTATCTTGGATTTATCACAAAACGATGATTTGAAGAGCTGAATTAAATTTTCCATTGAGGTTTCAGGCTGCAGGAAACTATCCTACCGGCTTAATTGACATAATAAAAACACAAGGAAATACCGGAGCAGTGTCGATGTGTAGTTATCCTATATTGAAGAGGAAGTAATCTGATTGCGTCGTAAGCTAATGTGTTGACTTCGTAAATAAAACTTGGCAGTAGAAGCGATTTTAATTCCATTTTTATTTCCAATTGATATTTGTGGCCACAATCACTTGGCACTCTATTCGTGCCTTTCCACAGAAGATTTACATTTTTGATATTGTTGGGATAGAAAGCAAGCCAGCGAAATTACATATTAGCAGAGTAGAGAGCAAAAGCTGAAGTGCGTCGTTATGAAAGATGGAAGCACGCGAAGAGAAAAGTTTTGGTTTACAATTCGGTGATTGGTCGTCAAGAGGCATCTGGTATTAACGGATACATAAGATCGCATGATTAATTTGAATGACGCAATGCAGATAAGTTATTACGATTTTAGAATAGAGAGGAAGTTGTTTCATATATTTTTATCTTACATATATATATTATATATAACAAGCAAGGTAGTTAGTACAATACTGTATGATCAATTTGGTCTAGATAACAGTTTTGCGCAATATGCTGCAAAATAAGCAAATTAGAAATTGTAGTAAGACGCCTAAAAGTTACCAGGAGCTGTTATATATACTTATATATATATTATATTATTATATTATTCCAGTATGTATATATATTTATAACTTTGGCAATAGCAGAAAATCAATAGTGGTTAGTTATAGGTAAGTTATCTTAACATGAACTATTATAAAATATTAACTCTTTCGCATCGAGAGACGACCAAATCTGTTTTCAACAAACATCGAAAACGCCCGTGTTTACGAATTTTTCTTGGAATAGTTTTCCTTTCCACCTGCGGTATCATCCATTGTGTGCAGTTTCACCTTAGGGCCGGATTGCACCTGCGAACATCAATAGCTTTCCGTATTTCTCCTTTATTTGCTTCAAAAGAATGATTGACATGTCTTTTAACAACTCGCGAAACCAATGAGCCATACACTAACGTGGAGGGGAAAGAACTAGGTAGAAAATAAACGAGGCGTTGGGGCGGTTTGCCGTTGCCTGAATGAACGGGCGTTACGGGCGACTTCGATGCGAAAGAGATTTAATACACGAGAACGATTTTTAAATTTAAGTT